GAGGCAGCGAGATGCTCCAACGAGGGACTTGGCAGGGATGAGACTTGAGTCTTGGAGAGTTTCCTACGTTTTGGCTGGAGCTGTTCCTACCTGTGGCCGTTCACCCTTTACCCGGACTTTCTTCAGCTGTGCATGCATTCCCTTCTGCTTCACTTCCCTCTCCTGCTGTAGCAGTTGTGGATAATACAGATGTTGACTCTTCACCGCTTTCTGCGCAGGTCACATGCGTTTCGTATGTCGTGTTGAAGAAGACTGCGCTGGTGGGCAGCAGTAGGGATGAACGCATGCTTACTTTGTCCTGGTCACTGTGTTCTGCATGAACCTTCAGACAAAGTTGAGGCAGAGGAGCCCAATCATTTCCTGAGAGCCAATGAGCGTGCCTATTTTGAAAGAGCGATCTGGGCAGCCTGAAAGGATGGCTCAGGAGCCAGGATTCTGCAGCACAAATCCATACGGGGAGGATGGGCCCCTGGGAAGAGCAAGGAGCCTTTCTGCAGTGAACAGCGGTCTGAAGGCAAACTTGCAGGGTGTTCAAAAGAGTGTCCTGGATAAGTTGGGTAGATAACTGGAGCAAGAGCTGTGCTGAATTGGTCAGTGTTTCGGAAAGCGTTGCAGATAGGTGTGCTTGGGAGGACTAGAAGAAAACCTCCCCGCTCCCAACCGAAAGTAATGTGGTTATGGATAGATTTGCTTCTAAGCCTTTGAACTTAAATTTTTCCATGTGAGCCAAAACTTGTTTTATTTTATAAGTTTTAATATTAAAGACACAAAGCATCATTGCTGCTTTATGTGCCTTCCACAGGATGCTCTGACACGGAGAATGGAGGGAATGTAAACTTCACCAATGGCTTGGATTAGCCCATTTTTGCTCTGTATCACAATGGATAGGTACTGTGATAGTAGAAACTGCTGATGTGGTCTCAGACGAAGGTGTAATTTTATAAAAATGCATAGAGTGTAGTGCTTTCAATTCTCTGACCTGATGTTTGCCTTTCCCCATAACTATTTGCTGAGTCATCAGTTTTAAACAGTGTCTGCTGTTTCTGAAGGCTGTTTGTAAACAGATGCAAATGCAACACAGAAATCACAAGAGAAGACTTACCTCATTTTAAAATATCTTCCATTCAAGAAGGCAAGTGAAAATAAGGCTGAAACTAGTATGTATTTTTGCAAATAGACAATTTAGGCATCTAAAGAAGAGATGGCAGTCTGTGCTGGGAACTTGACTTACTTGCTGCTGTAGCTTATGATAACTGGAAAAAAAAATGCTGTGAGCATATGTGTAAGGAATAGATTAACCATAGCAATGGCATAGATTTAATGCTCTAAAATGAGACAGGTATACTGTTGGGAAGGTAGAAATATTCCATAAAGCTACTTCTGCATGGAGCGGTTCTAAAAGAGATGGTGTGATATATTACGGTGGTAAAATATTTTCTACTTAATTTTTAGCAAGGTAGTACGTTAAACAGCAACTGCTGACAGGAAACATTTGAGTGGATTGTATAACTTGTATCTGGAAATATTGAAAGAATTAGCTTAGGAACATTCTGAACCGGTAATGTGGATTTTCAACAATCACTGGAAAGCTGGGAAAATTGCAAAAGATTTGAGGGTTGGGGGGAAGGTTAAGATTTTCTTGCTATTTAGGAGAAGGTAAGTAGAGAGATTAAGAGCTAAGCCACGCAGTGTAACTGCACTGTGCAACCTATGCTGCAAGTGTTACAAACCACTGTACAAGTGAGCTTTCTGGAGGCTTTATGTGGGGAGGAAGAGTGATAGGGATGAAAATGGTTTTTTTAGTGTCTCTCTGCAGGGCTGGAAGGGAAGAATTTGACAGAAACCCCTATAGAGGAAATCACAGCATCTGGATGTGTCCATCAAACACATCCTTCTCCCCACTCCTTCCTTTTGGGAGGGTATTATGAACTGTGAATCTCAATTTGAGGTAGGTATCAAACTTTGCAATGTAGGGCCTGCCTGTGTGCCAGAAGGAATATGCTTTTCTCTCTGCAACTTTTCTCTATTTATTGTTTTATGATAATTTGGATGCTTTCTTATTTATAGTGCTGTTGCAATGCTCCTTTTGAGGCATTTTCCTTTAATAGGTACTTCAGCTCCTTTTTTAAGGCTATGGATTCTGCTTAAGGCTGAACATCACCATGCCTGTGTCTGTGTCTTTTACAGGTTTACCCCCACAGAATCCAGGCTGTCGTTACAGCCTCAACAATTCTAGAAAAGTTTTGTCTGTCAGAACGGTATGAGTTCACAGCAGAGTATTCTGGCAAAGAAGATCTGATGGGATATGCAGATAAAAGATTGGGAGGAGAGTGAGCAGAAGTAGAAAGTTCTTAGTATGTAAGACTTTGACACAGATTCAGTTTCATGTTTGCATGCACATGCTTGCTCAAGTAACAAAGTCAATCATGCTGTTCAAGAGAAAAAAGTACCTGTAAGACGCTGTGCTTCATATGAATAGGAAGGGGAAGATTGTAGCGCTAATTTTACTGGAATAAGGCTATAGTTCTGGCACAGGAATTTTAGTAAAAGTCACATGAAAAGTGCACTGAGAACAGAAAAGTGATGTTCCTGCAAGAATTGCTTAACACAATGTCTACGTGCCTACTTCAGCTAAACAGTAACTTCAGCTAGTGCATTTCCCTGCTGTGAATTGTAGTTACTGGAACGGAAAATTGTCTTCCCCTTGAGTCCCATCCCAGGTTGAACTGTGTGTCCGACAACCCACAAAGTCGGTGAATGGGAAGGGGCAGCTCAAAAGTCAAGAAGTCTGTGAGTGCCACGAGAGTGACTTGAGATAGATTTTATAGATTTTAAAGTCTTGTATATGTAGTTTAATTCTTTTCTCAGCTTGTGTCTGTAGTAGTTGGTTATGGGTTTTTTTAAGAACAGATCTCTGACCAAATACTTAAACCTGCTTCACATACTCTGCATTTATGATTTTAGCGAACATTTAGTTATCTGTAGTCAGAGACAAGAATATAGAGAGTACATTTTAGTTAATTAAAAAATCTTATTTATGTATTTACAGCTTTTATATGAAAATACGCTCAAAATTGCAATTATATGGGGGTTTTAAATTATTCATTCTTTATGGAGACCTTTTTTACTCATAACATTTCAAATTTAATTTGCAACAGACAGAGTGGCAATTTAAATGTTCTGTGTCATTGTCAAGAGCCTTGACGGTGCTCAGCTGTAGAACATCAGGAAGTTTGCTTGGACCTTTGTGACCTGTGATGTTTCTGCTAACAGAAGCTGTGTTTCCAAGCTGGGGTACCTACCCTGCTATTGACCTGAAGAGCTGGGGCTGTTGGCAGGTTACCGTGCAGAATTGCTGGCCATCATCAGGCAGACCGTGGGCCAAGTCCATGGCTCTCGGATATTAAAAGATGCGGAGCCCAGGCACGTAACTGTTTTGTGGCTGATACTATTCCTCCCACACAGTGGAAGGATCAGGAGGCTCTGGCCTGGAGACTGCTGTGCACACAGACAGTTTACCCGTGCATTTCCTTCCAGCAGGCAGAGGCACGGTGTGCTTTTGATCCCCTGGTGGATCCCATGTGACGGACTAGAAAGTGCTATTTCTAGTACCATCAGTGCTCCAGGAGAGTCTTGCTGTTCAGGGTAGTTGCGGGACAGGAGGTTGCAGCAGCAGCTGTGTGAGTGGCATACTAATCTAAACAAAACAAAACAAAAAAAATCAAAAAATCTCTTTCTCATAACCCTGCTCTTTCCTTAAGCAGCAAAATAAAAATCATCCCCTCCTCCTTCCCAGGCTTGCAGTTCCCCTTGCACCCCTTCCAAGGATTCAGGTAACTGCTTTTCCTCTGCAGAGTTTGAGTTGGTCTCATTCATCCTCACTGAGTGGCCAAATCCCCATTATGAGTTATGAAGCCCAACTAGTGTGCAGCCTGTGACAAGGCTAAATACTGAAATTGCCTCCATTTTCCTTAATATTCCTCTCTTTTCCTTGACTCTTTTAATTGCTCAGCCTAAAGGCTTTGTCATACCTTATTCTCACATACTTTCCCTATATTTTTTCAGAGGCTGCTGGTTGCTCAAGTATCTCCGCAAAAGGAATCCTCGTCTCCCATCACTGCCGAATGGCCAGTATCTGCAGGCAAGTACAGGAAAACCTGTTTTTGAGTAAAGATTAACTTCATTGTCATATTATGTAAGGTTGCAGCTCACTGAGAGGCTTCCATACATCTGCACTTTTATTACAGTATTCAGTCACTGTGTTCGGTATGAGAAATTAAGAGGGAAAAATTGGGGACATTTGTTTTAACAGTATTTTCCACTACAATAAATTCTGGAATCTGCTAAGGTAAGAGATTTGTACAAACTTAATTACTCAGATTTACTTAATGTACATTCTTTTAACTGCTGGTGCTTTATTTTTGCTCTTTGCAATGCTTGAGAGTATGACATGATCACAAGATAACTGCTATTTAAATGCGTATAGGGATTTACAAAAAGCAGAGTGTAGTGGAGAAGGGGAGTCCTTACTCTTCAAGAGCTTCCATTCTACATCTCTCAGAGCAGGGTCAGTGAATGAAACTGTAGGTGCTTGTGTTCCAATTTTTATGTTGCTGATCCTTAGGAGCAAACTTTTTTTTTAGAAGAGAAGTTAAGGAAGACAAGGGAAACTTGCAGTAACTAGCAGGCTTTCCAAGTTTAAAGTCTAGCTCGAGAGAGACATGAAGTTGGTAATGCATGAAAAGGGTTAAAGCAGTGGGGCTGGTACTTGATCAGTATGTAGGATTCAGCACAGGATTCAGGAGGGACAAGATTAATACAACTGTTGTGAAATTGGTTGAAAATAAAGGAAATATAGCAGCACTGTTTATAGATTGCTAGTAATTGGCTGTAAGCATATGAACTGCGTTAACCAGGTTGGTTGGATGATACCATACTGCAACTAATCATGTCTAACAAACGCTGTCTTATTTTTATTTACGGACAGATACAATGGGCGTTTATTCTTTCAGATGAGAAAAGTTGCTGTTAGGCCCCTGACATGAAAACACTTCTGGTGGTACAAAGCTTGGGTCCTTGCTTCTGCGCATTCGTTTGATCAGATGGAAGAGTGCTACCAGAGGTACAAACACACAAGGAAGGACAGCTAACAGCACACAGATGGCCAGTACCCAAGGTGGATAAACTTTCTCCTCTTTCATGGGGAAGCCTTCCTATGGAGATAAAAAAAGCAAGCAAAAGAGATAATTGGTAGGTACACTTACATTTTGCTATGATTTCCATTTGCATTTTCTTATGTTGTATAGTAAGGGTAGCAAAAGTTTTACTCTTGCTCTACAAGAGCATTCAGTGGCCATGTCCTCTGTATACCCTTCCCGTGAGTCTAAAGATGGCTGTAAATGTTTTACGGTTTCAAAGATTTATAACTGGAAGTGTGACACATTCCTAGGAATGCAGGGGTTGCCCAAAGAGTTATCAGACTTTCACCCTCTCTTGGTTAAACTCTGATTATTCGTGTTAGTACTCAGAGCTTACCTGGTTTCATCAATTACCAAGCATGCTTTTTGCTAAATAGGGAAGAGATATATGAGAGATTTTGAGTGGATGGTGATAATACAATTTCTGCAAGTCTGTAGCTGTGAGTTTTACTTTGGAATGATAGATACTTAATGGCGTTTGAAGGAAGCACTGATACTGTGTAATCCTCGCGCAGTTTAAGACCAGGATCGATCTTCAAACCCCTACACAGGGTGTTTTTGAGAGGCATACAAGAAACTGCAACTGATGTGAAACAGTGACAAAAAGATCAAATGTTCTCAGCATTGATGTGTCTTTGGTCCTGAATTAACCAACAGTGTTCTCAGCCCACTGCCTCCCTCCCTGTCTGCCTGTCAAAAAAAGTACACATTCATAGAATCATCAGGGCACCAGCGATATTGGTAGTTGTCACTGAGAAATGTTTCCATCCCTGGCATCTCTCATGCAACTTTAAAGTTCTACTCATGCATTTTTTCCACCTCTGAACCCCCTGTAGGTATGGAGTGTCTGTGAGACATTTCATTTCAACAGTTGTCTGCATTACATACATTCTTAAGGAATATGGAGCATGGAGCATGCAGGACTCCTCAAGAAAAGGCTCTGTTAACAGAAATGCATTTTAGTATGTGTAACCTCTATGCATACCGGAGCCTTCTCATTCTGAGCATTGCATCACTTCAGGCTACATTACTTAGGTAAGCAGTAGATGGCAATGATTTTAAAGGATCTGGTAAGGGAAAAAAATGTACAAGTCTTGCTTTTATTAGAAGTTTTGAAAATACTTGGTAACATACATATTTAGGGTTCCAGGCTGCATAGCTCGGCGACTTCTGTATCTGGAGAGTAACAAAGGCCACGAAGACAATTAGCAGGAGCAAAGGGCTAATAAACCTCCATGTGATCTGCCAGTAGAGATTGGGTTTCCGTCCAGTCATCCATTTCACATCTTTATTGAACCTTTTAAGAGAAGGCATGTTTATGATGATGTCAGATCTAAGTGGTAACAGTTTCACTTTTTCATATTTTTCCATAAGTTTTAAACACATGGTACAGCTCCCTAAATCTTTTCTATTCCATAGCCTTCTGTAATAACTTACTATAGACTTAAGTAAATAATAATATAAATAAAGTAGGTCTTTATTGATCCCTACCAGGCATGAATGATCAGTTTACATTGCCAGTTTACATTACCTGAGCACCTGGTCTAAGGTTTCTAAGCACAAATAAGTGATGAAGATATTACAGCGGTTCTATAGAACTATTCATACATTTTAAAAAAGGCAAAATTGCCAAGGGAACAAACATAGCTTGTTAGGAAGAAGTCTGAATTAACCAGCACCAAATGAATCGAATCAGGTCAGGAACAAAATTACTGGCATCTGAGCCAGCTTCAACTGCAGTCAGTAGTGGCAGTAGTTTGGACATGGAGCTGATCCATGTATACGTCTTACAGTTTTTTTACATTGAATGGGCAGTAGATACATGGTTCTGGGTTTCACAGTTGCATGAAAACCTGTATCTATCACATTGGAAAGAGTTTTGTAATCTGTAATAGGAGTTGTGATTTTTTTTTTTTTTAATGTGTATGTTCACCAGCTTTATCTTCAATTCTGTTAATCTAACTGAAGCTATTAGAAATTTTATTGAGAATGAGGAAGAAGAGATTTGACTATGCTTGTATCCCATAATAACAAAGAGGAAAAAGAATGTATATATACTAGCACAACAGATAAAATACAGGTAATGTATATGCATACTAGCACAACAGATAAAATACTCTGTGGAATCCAGACTCTGTTGAAGTGCGTGAAACCAGATTTTGTTGCTACTTCTGCATCATGAAAGATTGAGGCTAGCTGTATGGCCAGCAAGAGGGACATGTGAAATTGTTTATGATGATATAGCCAGGGAGTTACCACAATTTAACATGGGAAATGCTCCCAGGATCTTAAAGTGGATGTAAAATCCCAAGATGTAAGATCCCAAGATCTTTAGTGGATGTAAAAAATGTAATGCAGGGACTTTAGCTGTAATTGAGAAAGAGACAGCAATATGCAATCGCAGCCCAGAAGGCCAACCGTATCCTGGGCTGCATCAAAAGAATTGTGTCCAGCAGGTCAAGGGAGGTGATTCTGCCTCTCTGTTCCACTCTCGTGAGACCCCACCTGGAGTACTGCATGCAGCTCTGGAGTCCTCAACATAAGAAAGACATGGACCTGCTGGAGCGTGTCCAGAGGAGGGCCACGAGGATGATCGGAGGGCTGGAGCACCTCTCCTATGAGGAGAGGCTGAGAGAGCTGGGGCTGTTCAGCCTGGAGAAGAGAAGGCTCCGGGAAGACCTGATTGCGGCCTTCCAGTACCTAAGGGGGCCTACAGGAGAGCTGGGGAAGGACTTTTCACTAGGGCATGTAGTGACAGGACAAGGGGGAAGGATATAAACTGGAAGAGGGCAGGTTTAGATTAAACATTAGGAAGAAGTTTTTCCCTTTAAGGGTGGCAAGGCACTGGAACATGTTGCCCAGAGAGGTTGTTGAGGCCCCATCCCTGGAGGTGTTCAAGGCCAGGCTGGACGTGGCCTTGGGCAACCTGGTCTAGTGGGAGGTGTCCCTGCCCACGGCAGGGGGGGTGGAACTCGATGATCTTCAAGGTCCTTTCCAACCTAAACCATTCTACGAAGATTTTTTTTGTTGTTGTTTCTTATTTTTAAAATTATAGCCTATGATAAGACTTCAGTCGGGATGATACTGAAACAAACACCTTGATATGCAACAGCACTGACCAAATGTGAGTTCATTACCTCTACAGTATACAAACTGATCCACAAAAATATCAGGACCTTCATGATCCCAGTGCCAGAGTAAGAATTGGAAAGGTGAAGTCCCAACATGTAGCTATGTAAATTATAGAGGGGAAAAGATTAACCTTTATTGAGAATTGAGTAAATTTCTGGACTGGAAAGGCCCTGAGTAGAGAAGGCAGGTTTATTCTAGATCAAAATGAGATAAGGTTTCTGGCATTTACAATTACAAAGGATGTAGGAAAGTTTTTAAACTAAAGAGTGAATGTAATTAGTGTCTGTGACTGCAAAGGTTCTTAGCATGCAGGCTGAGCCTTTTAACATGGGATTACTGCATATTGGTTACTATGAAGTTTGAGGGGAAAAAATAGTGATAAACAAAAACCACAATAGTATACAGTCAGTAGCAGGAGGGTATTTGAAAGACAGTGTAACTCCTCTTGGCCAAGGAACTATAATGGCTGTTGACTTTCTAGCTTTAAACTTAGAATGCCCCCTTCCATAAGAGCTATGCAGAGATTGTCCTTCCTGTTTTACAAATATAGGAGACTTGAAGTAAAGAATGATAACTACATTCACAGAACTGGTAAGTGCTACAGAAATAAGTTAATATTGTATACCTGTATGTAACGTACATGGATTGAGAGGAAAATGCATTTGTCTCTTCTGAGAAAAAATTCTGTTTCCAACATACCTTTTAATTTTATACACATATGCAACCCCAATCACTTCAAAGAATGCGATGACTAGAAGAGGCAACGAGCCTGCATATCTGTCAAAAATGTCAATCCAGTAACTCCCTGAACCCAGCGTAAAACACAGAGCAACGAGGAAACAAATTAGACATATTATACCTGAAGAAAAAAAAGGCAACTTTGTTACTGGAGTACTGAACTGAACTTGGTAAGTATATTTTTTGTTCTAAATTATTTTTGCTCTTGTTATGGTGATTTTTATTGTCTCCTTCTAGGGGGCTACAACAAGCTGTTTTTTTTCCATAGAGGAGCTAATATCACTTCTCAGACTTAGTTTTCCCCCGTGTGTTGGCCGAGAGGCACCGCTCTGTTGCAGGAGGAATGCACCAGTGTGACTCAGAGCATCCTTCTGTTGTTCGTGCTTCCAGCAGGTAGCCTGGGCTGTGCTATGTTCTTGCCCTATGTTGATTTTTTGACTGGTGTAGTGAGTTTCAAGTGCCCTCATTTCCACACAGTCGTAGGCTCAAAGCATAGGCAGCCGCCACCTGAGAAGTGTGAGGGCTCCCTGGATTTCTGCCCTCCATTTCCTCAGAGGGCCCAGAGCTACAAAGGTGCGTATCCCTTTACGTCCCGGTGTGTATGGTATAGGTTTCACCACACTTCTGTACAGTCAGTTCCCCTTTAGCCAAGGTATGGATTTGGGGTAATTGGTAATTGAGAGAAAAAGCGGGAAAGAGGGGAAAGTGTTGCTGGATGCAGACATGGACTGCAAATCAATTTGTGTGTCCTTGTGTTGTGTTACTAATTGCTTCTGACTCTGAGATGGCCTTTGCTTCAATGCTGTGTAAAATTGGGTCCAGACTTTTTTTTTTTTTTAAAAAAAAAAAGCTCACAATTGGAAAATCAACTTCAAAATAATATAGTTACCTCATCAAGTTGTAAATAAATTTGTTTCTACATAAAAAGTTGTAAAATGTCAAGGATATAGTTTAGATGCCACAGGAAGACTCCAAGAAAAGGCATGACAGCAATATTCACCATAAGAATTTAAAAGGACACATTGCAGAAGTGTTAATCCATTACTTTAAACTGCCAGAAATTTTTCTAGACCAATTTCACAGTAGGATCTCTCAGACTCTCACTGAGTCTGGTTCTTGCAGAGCAGGTTGGGTTCAGTAACTGTCTCTGAAAAGATTGTGGGTTTGGTGCAATAACAGGATCGCGCGCGCTCGTTCCTTGGTTTCCAAGTGCTAATTTTCTGTTCTGGTGTGTTCACAGTAAACGTGAAATAATCTGTAGCAGCATAAACCTGAATAAAATAGGGGTGAATGACCTATCTTACAGTTGTGACAATGCGGTAAGTTCGTGCGCAGGTGGTAGACCAGCTGATGTCACTGGTTGCCTTAAAGTGACTTGTTTAGGCTTAAGTGAAGACAAGGCTTTTGCCAATGTTTACAACAGCTCAGAGTGAACTTGTCTCCAGGAACAGCAATTTAACAGGTTTTCTCAGACTGAAACAGCTCTCGTAAGCTAAGAAAAAAAAAAAAAATGGCAAGGGCAATACAATAGTGTCATCTGACAGCTTCTGCCATAACTGCTACCTCGTCTATGTGCTTATCTTCTGCAAACACAATCCACTGCCCTTACTAATGCTATGAGATAGTCAAGTTAATATTACAAATTCTTAATCTCTCTATGATGCTTCTGCAGCAGCTGATAGTTTGCGCATCTGTAAAAAGCCACCGTCTTTGAACAAAGCAAAGCAAATGCCTTACCAGATAATAGCTCCTTGGGTATTGATTTAGATATAATTCGAAGCTCTAGAAGAGGCGTGAAGACTCCCTCGATGTTCCCAAACATGGAAGAAAGGCCCAAGCTGAACAACATTATGAAAAACAGGATGGCCCAGGCTTGGGAGCCTGGCATGAGAACGATGGCTTGAGTGAAAATGATGAAAGCCAAGCCAGTTCCCGATACGCTCTGCAGTTGTCACAGACAGATAAACATATGCGTTATAATGGTATAAATGTAGTTTCTCATGCATATAGAATTATAACACCCTTCTGTCCTTCCCTGGAGTCAAGGGTGCTGGTCAGCCTATGGGGCTCTGTGGCAGCCAGCAGTTGAGAAAGTGGGTAATAGGGAGTGTTTGTGGGGATTTTAATGTTAAGTGGTCTATCAGAGATATGTAGACAGCCACAGAGCAGAATTTTAGCTTGCACAGAGAGATGGGTCCAGAGTAAAGCGGATCTGAGAGTTGTAATTGTTTTGCTAATGCTGTCTTTAAGTATGTTTGTTTTTTTTTTAAAAAAAACCACCTATGATGTAATAGCTGCTGGAAAGAAAAAGATGTAAATAAGGATATGATTGCCACTGTAGCAGCAAGAGAGTTGGTGAATTGTTGATCATAAAAACACCCACATAATTACCAGAGCAGAAAGGGTTAATAGGGAAAACACCAATTTTAGCCAATTTTCTTTGAATTCCATCTCCCAAAGACAAAGATATTTAAATCTGCAGCGCTAGCATCTTTCAATGCTTAGAAGTAAAACATGTTAAACCATAAATCAGAAACAGGTGCCATCAGAGGAAGCCAGACAAAAAAGAAACGGACTCGTGTCAGGGCTGGAATGTCAGTTGTCCTTGGACTTCTCCATCACATGAGTGAAATAGCCTTTTTCACCATCATTGTGTGTTAAGGCTGTTGTGCATTAGCACACTGTTTCTAGCAAATGTGTCCACCCTTTTGTCCGAAGATTTTTTTTTTTTTTTTTTCCTCAAGTTCCTTGCTTTCTTCTTCTCTCCTCTAGCCATGGTCCCATTCTTTTCTCATTAGGTGGTAAGGACTTGTAACGAGGGAGTACCAGTGGGTGAGCAGTAAATGAGAGTTACTGGTGGCATCACTGGAGCAAGGGGAATGAAGTTGGAGAAGTAAACAGAGAAGAAACATCTGTGTTTAGTGATAGGGGAAATGTTTTAGGAGGGTTGGAAAAGAAGATGATAATGATGTATTTTAGAAGGGAAAAGCAGCATTAGGGGGAAAAATAAAAAATATTTGTGATATCCAGTGCAGAGAAGAGGAAGAGTAAAAGGGAGAGGACAGGAGGGAATAGAAAGATGGGGAAAGGAAGATAAAAGTGAAGACAGGGACAAGATACCTTCCTGCTGGTCATATATGTGAATGAAGGCAAACAGCAAACATTTTAATAAATCTTTTTTTTTTTTTTTATACTTTCCTAAACATGGTTTTAGGAAACTCCCATTAATCATCTTTTTTCTATAATACTTCATCTAGTTGTGTTTCCTCTGTTGTGATTATTCCTGTAACCAAAAGTAGCGCTGAATCTAATGTCTGTGGTAGGCTCCAGGTAGGAGCACCTTTGAAGATTAGTTTTGTGATAGTAATGTGTAAATTTGCATGCTGTACCAGACAGCCTTGAGTTCAGACTGTCCTACAGCAGCATTATTATTTCAAATTTTGAAAATCTGTTTTGTTTCATGATTATGTATAATATACTTATTACAAGTAGAGTAAAGTACCAGTACTTGGAGAAGATGATACCGGTCCTTCTACATATTTTGTTTAAGGGTTACTTTGTTGAAAGCAATTATGGTACCTGATCAAGAAATTCTTGAAGGTCACAACTTTTCAGTTTGAGTCCAGCAATTTTTTCTGGATGTGATGAATTTAGGAAACTAATCCAGGCTGTATAGTTCTGTCGCATGATGCTTTCTTCTGGGAGATCAAATTCATTGATGATGCTGATAATGTTCCTGCCAGAGAAGACAACATATCATTAGTTTAAATGTTTGCAGGTGATGTGGCTGGAAATGCTATGCCATGTATTTGGATATTAATAGAAAGTTGTGTTTACTTTTTGTGCTGTTATTTACACTGTAAAGGAAAATATTAAATAAGGACATATATGAAGTAGTTAAAGGAAAATATTCAGACTATTCAACATCTACTCTTTTGGATACAAGTTCTTAAGTACTTTATGCAGATGCAGTCTCTAAAACATTTCTATTTGTGTTTTATCAGCTCTCCAGACCATTTCCACCACTTATGTTTAATAACTTAGTGAATCTGGTGGAATAGGAGAAGGTGTTGTTTTTTTTAACTACTACTAATGCTAGTCTGAGATTGAGGTGTGACCCTTGACGCACTACTTGGAATGGATTGTTTTATAATTTGTCTTGTCTTGCAAACACTCCCCTGATCATTCTTGCCTCAGTGCTGTAGTATTTCTATTTTTATATTAGACTTCTCCATACACATGTTTTTCCGTTTTAGTGACAATAAATTCTCTAAATGCATGTTTTTCAAGTAATACATTACCTATTTAGGCCTTGAAACCACAGTATATCACTGCAAACACAAGTTTCTCACCTGTCCAGGCAGTCCCAGTAGGCTGTGGTTGCTTTAAACCCCAAAACAGAAAAGACTGGGATGGAAGCGTAGAGGGATGTCATGCTGTTCACAATTGCTACTGTCACAGCATCCTTTTCACAGTCATTTCTAGAAATAGCATTCAGACAAGTGAAGTGACTGAAAAAAAAGGCCGTATTTTTTCTGTGATTCTCTCAGGTATTTCTGCAAACATTTTATTTTTTTAGATTTACCCCCCCGCCCCCCTTCCTGTTAGAAAATCTATTTGGCATTTTAGAAAGACAGCAGCTGTTAAGATCCGTTAGAAAAAATAAGATCCTTTATAAATATGCTAACGAAAGAGTTACTTACTTTGGTGGATTGTAGCTTGAGAATGCAATAAGCCCTCCAAAACCCAAAGACAGAGAGAAGAAAATCTGGGTAGCTGCATCAAGCCATATGCGGGGGTTTTTCAAAGAGCTTAGCTGAAATAATTGGAATAAATGCACATATTAGGCTTAAATTAAAATTTCTTTTCCCCTCCCAGTTCACATACCTCATCCCCTATTTTACTTCTGAAATTGAGTTGTGTTGTCATCTAAATACACTGAAAATGGAAATTAGTACAAAACATGTCAGTAAAGAAGGCGTTTCTGAAGACATAATTTGGTCTATTTAAATGTATGTAGTAATTATAGAATGTGTTTCATTGTACAGCTCTTCTGTCTGATGACAAATACCTGTTTCTAAACGATAGGCATTAGGCACACAATAAGGACGTTTTTCTGCAATTTATTTCTTTTTGTTAACCCACATACTGGGTAACTTACAGATTAAGAATATTATGTGCCTAAAACTGTATAAACAAATACTAAGCCTTGAGTGCTTTAAGACACAGAGTGATTTCATAGCTTTCCAAATTAGCTTAAAAAAGTAAAAAAAGACTAAAAGACCAAGCAGACAAGAAGAGGATATTCATTAAAAAGAGCATCTTAGATTCAAAGTACTGTCAAAACATCAATAAAAGATAAAAGGGCAACACAGAAAAAATAAGGGAAAAGGGAAAATTAACAAAGTGAAATTTGAGTTTTGATGTAAGGGCGACAGGATAGAGGAAGCTAAATTAAGAAGTCGATTATTGGATTACGGAGAATAACATGCAATTTTAAATAGCTGTGCTAAGAATGATTCTTACCATTAAAATTAGTCTAAAAGAAAAAGATAAAACATAAGTAATACTCAAAATGTAAATGTATTCAATAAATATTAGTTTCCTGCAGAAACTAAGAAGTGGTGTGTTAAATTCATACCCTGCCAGGTGAATTACTTTCCGATCCGTTATCAAGTAGGGGGAATAGAAACCAGCATCAGTTAAGAATGAGTGTTTTAAAAACCAGCTGGCCCAAAACGTAATACCAGGGCTGTGGAGTCCTTCGCTTTGTTTTACATCAGTCTGAGTCAAATCTGCATCCTCGTCGTGCAGGGCAAATTGTGCCTTCTCTGTGTCGTGTCTCTGTGCCTGTGCTGTTGATCCTAGTGCATGACCAGGAACGTTTGTAGGAACGATCCTTCAAGGAGCGTTTGTAGGAATGAGAGGTAATTATGCCAGAAGACCCTTAATAGCATTTTGGGTTTCTCTGAAGCTGGCCTGAGCTTGAAGAGCGAGAGAATAAGGGGTTCATCTCAGTGTGGGTGGATGCAGTGAATGCCGTTACTGGCGATGCTTTCTCTGCAAGTATGCCAGGGCTTTGACCACAGCAGAACTGTGTGGATTTTTGCACAAAATAGCGTAGCAAGCAGATATGTGCATTTCTGTGAAACGTGAAGAAATGTGAAAAAATATTAATTACTGGCTGAAATGCTTCAGCTGAGGCAAACCTTTCTAGAGGTTTATTTTGAAAAATCATAACCAAACACTGCAATGCCAGAGTGCTCACTTGGCAGGACCTTGTGCAGGCTACACAGCCTTCACAGTTTGATTAAGTGCTGCCAAGTCAATTGTTGGTGCTGATAGATGTGACTGTTACAGGTCCGGCTTTCTGGCTGAGGACTTTGGCAAACGAGTCTGAAGATACTTTAGTTTGGTGCTGGATGCAATGCATTTATTGACTCTAAAACATACTAATCAACCCCCAAACTTGAAGAAATAGTGGACAGGCAAGCATGTCGTGGCAATGTCATTATCTGGTCTTCAGCCAATAATTATGAATCTAAACGTTATTTTATATTTGCAGTAATATGGCATGCAGTTTTCATAAGCCTGTCTCAGAAGAAAAAAAATCTACTGAAGCTAGAAACATGTGGATGAAGGTGTACAACCAGAATGTTAATGAATGAGCATGGGAGTAATGAGGGAAAGAAGCATAATTGCTCCCTCCTGGATAGTGAGCTGTTTGGCTACTTGAACACATGAAACACAGACAGAAACTTTCTTAAAACACAATTAAAAAATACCGGGATCCCTATAATGTGTAATTTTGGTGTAAAAACAGCTATTGCTTTTCTCATAAGCAAGTGGCTACGTAATACTGCACATAAAGACAGCAGTTCATTAAGGTCATGCTTTTGTTCTCCTTAATGCTAGAAATGATATGGACAGACCAGGTACCTTAAAAAGAGTTTTAAGTGTCCATGCACAGTAATATATCAGGTGTAAAACTAAATTGCAAAATAGGGGAAAAAATTACAAATTGCCTCTGTGATAGAGCATCTGGTGCCTGTGCTGCCTTTTTCTTTTTCTTGGCTATTCTCCCTGCTTGTTAAGTAGCTGCAGAGCTCTGGGCGCAGGCATCAGTTGCCCAGCCAAGTTCCTGGAATTGCTCATTGCCAGAGAACCCCCAAATATTTACAGTCTCTGAAGCTCTTTCAGATAAGGAAGAGACCGGAGAAGGAGACATTTGTGCTCCTTAGCTGACACAGATGTCCTCAGAAGCTGAACTGTGTAGAGACCATTGCTAATGCTTGATGGGATCCCTTTTTTTTTTGTTGCCTCTGATTATTTTTTTTTTTTCCAAGAACCTTTCCAAAAGTTCCAGCTCCTGTGTTGCTTCATCTTTGTACAACTTCTGCTTTCTCCTCAAGTGCCCATGAGCGTAACTTCATTATCTTTCTGTTTTCTTGGCAGCTTCACTTTCCAGGTAGCCAAGGATTTAGAGAGAGTGAGTAAATCGTCAGACTTCTCCATGTCTGAAAGTCAATGAAAAGAAGTATCCATTATTTGTGTTAGAATTTAAGGCGTGAAAGTGTGTCAGATGGCAAAAAGCCAACTATGTATTTCTGCATGAAAATAAAACCACAGCCTGCCATATTTAAAACCCATATTCATGCAGTTATTATTTGTGATATTTATTAATGAGAACTAAAATACATAGTTGGGAAGTGAATAAACTTAAACAATGGTGTTTGGAAAAAAAAATATTAAATTCAGTTGGGTGATTATGATGTTGAAATGGGGTAAAATGTGACTTTTAGCACTAGGTATTACTTTCACAGATTTTCAAAAACAACAGTGAGGTGTAAGAGTTACCAGAGAGTGGATGCGGCAGCTATTACAGAGAAACTACAATTTCTGTTGCACTGTGAAGTTGGAAAAAATGATGGAAAAGATTGCCTCCAATGAGTGGAGAATGTCAAGAAGGTTGATTTTATTTCATATTTTTTTTAAAGCAGGCTGAAACAGGCAGTAGGTGAGCTAACTCTCACTTTATTTTGCTAAAACTTTACAAGCTTCCTACAAAAAGACAGGAAAAGAAGAAGCAAACAGCACAGACTTAAGAAATATGCTTTACAGTTTTGTAAGCTAATGTGATCTGGGTGGGCCAGGTAAATCTTTGCCCCCCAAAAAAGCCCACAAACCAACAGCCCATCCATACAACTCACTCTGGGACATCTCCTGTGGAGAAGTGTAACAAGAAAAATGCACGTATTTACTGACGGCAGCGGTGGGAATAGTTTCTCATTGAACAGGTAACAGACAAAGGCAGTACTGGTACCGCAGTTGTGGGCTAAGGGGGAGAATAGAGAAAGGAGAAGTTGCAGCTGTATGCTTACTGTCTTTTTGAAGTCCTTGAAGTGTCAAAATCCTTCATAGCAGTTGGTACGTTAGTTTAACAAAGCCATCTCTCTGTCCTACACTGCAACTTTCTATGCAATACCCATAGCAGATATCACTCACCGGGCTGTTGCATCAGCTTTTCCATGGTTGTAGATAAGAACATTGTTTCATCACCAAAACCATCTTCAGATGACTCTTCAAGGATGTCCCCAGGATCTGCTTCCTCAAACCGACTAATCATGAACTGCAGGTTGATTGCAGCTGGATTTTCATTTTGACTTCTGACGCCGGTCTACGAAACCATCTGGGCTCTTCTGTTATGATGATCTGCTCCACCTCAGCACTGCAATACCTCCAGGCTTTGTGAATACACACAAATCTAGGTTTTGCGTTAAGTTCACTGTGCAATGGTCGTAGGTCCCGAAGATGCCTGAGCTCTTCTGGAGAAACCCGACAGACGGGCTGAGACCAAAGGCCAAGTCCTGTTCTGGTTGCGTTGTCTAACTTGCTTTCTTCATTTAGACATTGCACCAAGCACTTATTGTCCTGTCTGGGCCCTACAGAAATGGAAGTGCACATCCTGATCTCCTGTAAAGACTCAGGTTGTCCGTTTTGAGCTCTGGCAGCATTCAGATGGTTCAGATGCCTGTGCCACTGGGCTTGCAGGGGGAGGGATAAAAGGGGCATCTCATCTGAGCTTTCTTGTGCTGTTGTCCCTTTCCAGGCTGGCATGTAACGTATCTCTGGGCTTCTTGGCTTATGTTCCCTTAATGCTTGTGTTCCTGTTGTAGGAAGGGGAAGGGAAATAGCCGGGGCTGCTGTGGTGGGAAGCACTGCTGTGGCTGCGGAGGCAGAGGATGCTCTGAGACCATCTGTCAGTGGGTGCTGCTTTTCCTCCTCTATACTCACCGCTTTACAGAGCATTTTAGCACGAAATGCAGAGCTGTGAGGAGCCTACGATTGATAGCAACCGCTTGGTGGGACAATTTGACTTTGCATTTGGGAAGGCTACTAAGGACAGTGTAGAGAGGTCCTTCTGAAATGGCCAGCATATGGAGGGATCTGGGCCTCCTGTCCCTTTGAGGAGATGACAAAAAATGGGAGAGGAATATTCTCCAGCAGTTCTGTCTTTTAGGGACAGCTACAGGGAAGGGAAAACTTCAGCTATGGAGAAACAGGGATAGGAGACAATTACTTGTAACCCTAAAAAAAATAAATAAACATCACTTTGCAGTGTAATTCCTCAGTTCTTTTCCTTGTGAATTCTTAAAAGATCAAAGTTTGTAAATTTTGTAGCATTGGAAGGGAAATACCATCTTTATCATGTGTAAAAGAAAGATGATTCTAGTAGTGAAATGCATCAGTTTCACTTACACGTTCAAGACTGAGGCACCCCTAACATGCTCAATCTTCCAGTATTTTCCGATATGCTTATTACTGAACTGTTAAATGCTTTGCTGCTTCTTTGCTTGCTAAAATATATTAAAATACTAAATCACTTCATCTCAGAAAAACAAGCTTAGCTGAGCTCTTGGATAGGGAGCTAGATCAGGAGTTGCTGGAAAATGAATATACAGTATGAGATCTGAGGGGGAGAAAAAGGAAAAATAATATTTCTGACTATAGCATCAATACTTACATTAGGGGTGAAGAGGTAAGCCAGACCGTCAGTGGCTCCTGGTAGACTGAGGCCGTGAATAAGGAATATAGTTAGGACCAGGTAAGGAAATATTGCTGTTACATAAATTGCCTAAA